AGAAAGAGAAAGCAAGATTGATTTAGGTTAATCAGAAATTACACAAACAAGACCAGGATCATATGTGCTGAAACCCAAACTACTCCATTTCTGACTCATGGACTATTAGTGTACCAACCAGCTCGCTCACTAATCACTCCACTGAGTACAAAAGAATTAGAGTTCAAATCACCATCTCACAGCCTTTCGGGATAAATAAATTTGTGTTGTTTTTAAAACCGAGTTTCAATGTGGTTCATTGCACTCATAATTAAGTGAAAACAGACCACCATAATCATAGTGGCTTTTGTTAGCACATAGCTGAAATATATACAGTTTCTTTTAGTTCTTCTCATTCACCGGGAACTGCCATAGGCATTCGTTTCACAAACAATTTTAAGAGTTCTTATTATGAGTTCAATCACAGTGATAGGATCAAGAGATTGAACTATAGGAAAAAACACACCAGACCCATACGTTCTTGACTTTTAAGACTTAAACTATGTGATAAACAACAGAAGAGCAACCAAATAATGTAACGTTCAGTTTTTTTAATTTTAAACAAGTAAAAATATTTCGATGAATATTCAATGTGTTTATAAATCACAGATTTTTCTGTCATAGCATAGCTGGACCATTCCCTGAATTTAACATTATTTCATGCCCTTTTAACAAGGGGCAGGGGTCAAGACTGGCGGGGAGACCCGTACAGTCAGTTGATCTGAGCTTGTAGGAGCTCACAGACTCGGGACAGACAGCTAGGGATCCAGCATGGAACTGACCTAGGCCCTCTGCATCTGGGTGACAGTTGTGTATCTTGGTCTTTTGTGGAGCCCCTAGAAGTAAGGTCAGGACCTGTTCCTGATGCAGGAGCTGGTTCTTTGTAACTTTTCCCTATGGGAAGATGCCTTTTTCAACCTTGATGCAGGGGGAGAAGCTTGGTCCTGCCTTAGCTTGATGTGCCAAGTTTTGTTGATTCCCATGGGAGTCCTTACCACATCTGAATAGAGACAAAGGAGGAGTGATTGGAGGGGGAGGAAGCAAGAGGAGAGGAGGGAGGGGGAAGCTGTAGTTGGTATGTAAAATAAATAAAAAAGATTAAAAAAAAAGCTCAGGCTACCCAACTTCATAGATATCTCACTTGAGCTCCTAAGTTACTATTATGGTGGCCTGACTGGAGACTCATGGGAGATGCCATTTTAACACCCAGCATCACTGAGCTCCTTTAAAGAGAGTGAGGCAACTCTATCTAACAGCTGGTTTTCCACTCTGTTATAAACCAAGGAGTCTTCCTGCTGCGACTCTGTGTAACTACACCATCATCTGAATCAGCGAAGACCCCGTTGCAGTTAAACCCCAGATCATAAACAAATGGTATATAGGGATATGTATAGATACAGATATTATAAGATGAGCAAATATGTTTATCTTATAGTCCAAACACCAAGCTGTCAGTGGGCTTTCCATCAGCACAACAAAATACTTGATATGTTCAACTTAAACAGAGGAAAGGGGTATTTTGTCTCATGGTTCCAGAGGTTTCAGTCTATGGTCAGCAAGCTACATTGCATTGGGACCAACAACGAGGCAGCAAATCTTCGAGGGGAGAGCTGGGGAAGCAAGCTGAAAGCCTCATGGAAGTTGGAAAGCAAAAAGAGAACAGGCCACTACCATTCAACAGTCTCCTTATCCCAGGCTTCTAAACCTTCCCATCTATCCAAACATGGACCTTTGGGAGACACTCAAGACCTGCTGCACAACAGAATATAACAATTTCCTCAACAAAAGGTGAAACATATCCCCTCAGGAGGGCACAGTGTTTCTTACCTAGGGCTAGAGATGCCATGACCAGAACAGCTCAAAAGAAAATAGAATGATTATAATAGAAAGATCCAACATAGAGAGAAGAGATACAAAAAAACATATTGGTTTTATTATTTTTTATTTTTAGTAATGTAATAAGATAAAACAAAAACTAACAGATCAAAATTGGACAAATAAACAAATAGGAGGAAAAGACACCAAGAGAATACACAAGAATCAGAGACCCATCCATTTATACACTCAGAAATCCCATAACAACCTTAACTGGAAGCCAAAATATGTACTCAGAGGACCTGGTGTAGACCTGTGTAGACCCTGTGCATGCTGTCTCAGTCTCTGTGAGTTCATATGAGCTTTGCTCATGTTGATTTAGAGGGCCCTGTTTTCTTGGTGTCCTCCATCCTCTCTGGGCCTTACACTCTTTTAACCTCATCTTCTGAAGGGTTCCCTGAGCCCTGATAGGAGGGATTTGATGAATCCATCTCATTTTAGGGCAGAGTGTTCCAAGGCCTCTCACTCTCTGCACATCTCTGTGTGTCTCTGGACTTCTTCCCATCTTCTGCAGGAGGAAGCTTCTCTGATGATGGCTGAGCAAGGCACTGATCTGTTAGTACAGCAGGATTTATTGCTATTTTTAAAAAAGACCAGTATCTAGTCTCAAGTTCTTAGTCACCCAAGCAATGCTGGGTATGGGCTCCATCTCCTTGAGTAAAATCAATCAAATCGGGTATTGGTGGATTACTCCCACAGACTTCATGCCACCATTGCACTCGCATCTATTACAGACAGGACACCATTGCAGATCAAAGGTTTTGTGGCTTGGCTGATGTCCTTTGGTAGTATGTAAAGTACTTTCCTGTATCAAACATGCTAGCATATAGGGATGAAGGCTCTATGTAGGCACCAACTCAACTTCTCCATGTTCAATGAGTTGTGTAGGTGTTGTCTTCTGTAATGGAGCCTTGCTGTCAGTTTCTAGAGAGCAACCTATAGTCTTGGAAACAGTCTAAGTTATATGGAAATTCCTATGGGACCCATTTGTTCAACAACTCAATTAGATATAACCCAATCCTGGTACTGGAAACTTCATTTGGTAATAAGAGATGGCCAATTGGAGCTTTGTCTCTCCTGTTATTTGGCTATTTCATTTACATTGCCTTCATATATGCATATATTTTGGAGAAACTTCTACTGTACAAGGAGATTTCTATAATGCTCCTCAAATGACCCTTAAGTTTAGCTGTCTCTTTTCATATTCCCTCCTTCATCCTTCTTTTCCCTACCCCTTCCAACTTGATCTTCCTGTTCCAGGCTCTACTCCACAGAATCCACTCATGACTACTTTTGCTTTACCCTTTTTTTTCTTTTTTTGGTTTTTCGAGACAGGGTTTCTCTGCAGCTTTGGAGGCTGTCCTGGAACTCACTCTGTAGACCAGGCTGGCCTCGAACTCACAGAGATCCACCTGCCTCTGCCCCCCGAGTGCTGGGATTAAAGGCGTGCACCACCAACGCCCGGCTTTCTTTACCCTTTTCCTAACGGGATATATCTGTTCTCCCTAATTCCTTACTCGATATCTAAGCTCCGTGGTCCTATGGATTGTAGCTTGGCAATTATTCCCTTAACAGCTAATATCTACATATAAGTGAATACATGTCATATTTGTCTTTTGGGATCTGCCTTACCTCCCTCAGGATGATGTTTACTAGTTCCATGAATTTATGGGCAAATTTCATGATTTCAGTTTTTAACAGCTCAGTAATATCTCATTGTGTAAATATGCCACATATTCTTTATTCATTCTCCTGTTGAGGGACATCTAGGTTGTTTCTAGTATCTGACTGCTATGAAAGGAGAAGCAATGAACATGGTGGAATGTGTGTCTTTGTAGTATGATGAAGTACCCGTTGGGTATATGGCCAAGGATGGTATAGCTGAATATGAAGGTAGATAGATTCTCATTTTCCAAATGCTACAGACACACTGATTTCCACAGTGGCTCTAAAAGTTTGCACCCCCACCAACAGTAGATGAGTGCTTCCCATACTCCTTACTAGCTTGAGATATCATTTGTTTTACTGGTCTTAGGCATTCCTAAAGGTGTAGTTTTGATTTGAATTTCCCTGATGGCCAAGGATGTTGAATATTTCTTTTAAGTGTTTCCCAGTCTTTTGTGTTTCTTCTTTTGAGAATTATCTGTTTAGATCTATACCCCATTTTTTTCTTGGGTTACTTGGTTTTTGATATCAAGTTTCTTGAGTTCTTATATATTTTGAATATTACCTCTCTGTTGGATTTGGAGTTGGTAAAAACTTTTCCCATTTTGTAGGCTGCCCCTTTGTCCAAATGACAATGCCTTTTGTTGTGCTGAATCTTCAGTTTCATGAGGTCCCACTTATTATTTGTTGATCTTAGTTCCTGTGCTAAGAGTGTCCTGTTCAAAAAGTTTTATCCTGTGCCAGTGAGTTCAAAGCTACTCCACACTTTCTCTTCTACTAGGTTCAATGTATCTGGGTTTATGTTGAGGCCTTGATCCATTTGGAGTTGTATTTTGTTTGCATTCTTCTTCATACAGCCATCCAGTTTACCAGCTGTCTTTTTTCTAGTATGTATTGCTAACTTCTTTATAAAATATTGGTGTGTTGACTTATGTCTGGGTTTTCAAATCTATTCCCTTGATCAATATGTCTGTTTTTGTGCCAATACCATGTTGTTTTTTATTACTATAGCTCTCTAAAATTTTAGATTGGGGATAATGATATCTTTAGCAGTTCTTCTATTATTCAAGAGTGTTTTAGTCATCCTGGGTGTTCTGTGTTTTCATATGAAGCTGAAAATTTTCATTTTCAGTTACATGAGGAGTTGTGTTGGAATTTTGATGGAAATTGCAATGAATCTGCAGATTGCTTTTGGTATGATGACCATTTTTACTATGTTAATCTTACTGATTCATGAGCATGTGATGTTTTTACATCTTATGATATCTTTTACTCTTTTTTCAATGCCTTAAATATTTTTATCATCCAGGTCTTTCATTTACTTGGTTAGAGTTTTCCCAAGACACTTTATATTATTTGAGGCTATTAACATATTGGTTTTAAAACCACATAATGGTTCAGTTAATATTAACCTTTAATAGCTTTGTCTTTCTGTTATGCAAACAAAGGCATTGTCCCTAGGAGTGCAGTATAAGAGCCAACAGCAAATGTCTCTCTACAGAGACAATCATTGCTGTTCTCCCACTACCAGAGGACTCTAAACAGAACACAATGGCGAAGCTTATTGTGGGTGGCCTGCTCCTCTCTGTTCTTTCAGCAGGTTCATCCCAAGCAGGTAGGTGCTGATGCTAGCTGGAAGGTTCTCCATGTCTAGAATAGATAGGGTCCAACAGACTTTGCTGTTGTTGTTTTCAGGAAGATATGAGTGAAAGGTTTGTGAAGTCATTTACTCTATCTGTTATGCTACTCAAGCTTGGAAGTTGGAAACAGTGAATTTTTACTATCTCATGTCTGTTGTACAACAGAAAAGAGAGATGGTCTAGCTACTGTTTCTAAGCACAGGTCTTTATGGGATTGCAGTATTTCAACCAAGTTTGTAGTGTTGTCTGAAGGTTGCACTCAGAAAGTCTGCTCCCAAACTTCTCTTATGGTTAATCAATTTCTGCTCATTTCAAGAAGTTGGCTGGGGGCCTGAGTTCATTATTGTCTATTGACTGCAGAACTCTTTTAATCTCATACCATTGAGGCCCTTTCTACAAAATACAAAATAGACTGCAACATGTGACTGGAGGATGTGTCAGTTCAGAAGCCACAGATATTCTGTAATCAAATCTTAGAAATCCTCCAACTGTGTTCTACTTCTTTCCAGTAAATCAGCCCATACCTAAATGGAAGAGAATTAATTTAGGTCACTACCACAGATATTGATGACTATGGATATATCTTACTATACCAGGGTGTAAGGAGAATGAGGAATATAGAATGGGGTTTGCTTCTTTGATGAGAACACAGTGACTTCTCGTCTAAGAGAACAAGAGGGAGAACATTTTTTTTCTAGAAAAAGATAAGTTGGTAAAGGGAATGATCACTCTCATCATTTTTAAGCACTTAGTTAAGGTAGTGTAAGAGACAGTAGAAGTAGTTTGGACTTTATAAAAGAAACCCATCTCCCCCTAATAACTGAATAATTGAACAGCCCTTGTGAGCTGGCTGGACTGAGAGTCTCAATTCTTCACCAATACATTGGGGAAACAATAACACCAACTCCGATAAATGGTGCTGAGATAAATTAGGAGAAGAATGAACTTGGTGATGCATGTTATAAAAGTAGCATTTTATTACCAAAGAAGACACTTTACTGTTTTGACAACTTTATATTTTCTTTCCTGTTGCTGCCAATAAGAAACCCTGACAGTCATTTCCCTATACCTCAGTGTGAATGTCAGCAGTGAGTTACACATTATTTCAGGCTAACCATGATATTTTGCTCCAAGTCTCTACACTGACAAGGTTACAAACTGGGAGATAATTGATCACAGGATATAAATAAGTGATTTACACTCCAATCCTCTGGTTGCTGTTGTATTGACAGAACTTGAGTCTCTCCTCTCTCTCTCTCTCTCTCTCTCTCTCTCTCTCTGTCTCTCTCTCTCTGTCTCTCTCTCTCTCTTTCTCTCTCTCTCTCTCTCTGTTTCTCTCATACAATCTAGCTAGACCTCTTTTCTGGAAGCATTCCATTCCTACTCCCTAGGGGTCCACAGTATAAGCATTTCTTAAGAAGCTCTTGTATGTTAGGAAATAGAATTCATGCTGTTTTCCCATTTCCTACTATGAAGCAAAACTAACTCAATTCAAGACTATATATTATTTTTAGGCCATGTCTCCTCTGATTCAGTTAGCTATTATTCTGGAGTTTATTTTCCCAACTATAGCATTTGTTAAATTTACTTTTTCTGAACAAGGAAAGAATCATTCTGTAATGATTACAATTTCATCTTTTCACAAGATTCTTTAGACAAAATAAATTCATAGTAAGTAATCCTTTAATCCTGTTGCTTCTGTGGTAAATTGGTCATTATTGAGCATAGAAAGTACAGGAGAGAGGGAAGATGAGGGTATAGTACTATAATGATCTGGGCCAAACAGTTTACATGATTCTGTTTCTCAGATATCACACTGACTCCAAGTGTTGGTTCATCACAAGATCCAGGATGTACATAGACCCAGCTACAGGGATTCTCTAGGAGAAATATCATGATTGGATCAGTGATGGAAGAATCCACAGTGCCTCCGGCTTTATTCATTGCAATGACTCAGATGCATTTAATATTCTGTTGCTGGTACTTCTTTTATCTCAGTGCTGTCTCAAGAAAGGTGCAAGTAGAGTTGATATAGGAACTCTTTAATTTTGTAACTGATCAACTGAATCCAAACCCATCTATTATTGTTTAGTTTGACTTCGTTTTATTTGAGACAGTCTCAAGTGTCTCAGCTTGGCCTCAGACTCATTTTATAGACCAGATGGCTTCCAACTCTCAAGCTCTGAGGCTGCAGTCATGGACTTCTAGGTCTGCCTTTAACACTGTATGGCTGCTTGGCATTGCTGAGTTTACACCCTTGCAGGATCTCTGTGTGCATCAATGTGCTATACATATTCTTTCAGGAACCAAACTGCAGAGCTGGGAAAAATGTTTGTCTTACTTTCTCTTCTTTACAGACATGACGGGGAAGGCATTTATTTTCCCTCAAGAATCAGCCACTGCCTATGTGACCCTGATCCCAAAGGTGAGGAAGTCACTGCAGAGTTTCACCCTGTGTCTGAAGGCTTTCACTGACCTCACCAGACCTTACAGCCTCTTCTCCTACAGCACAAAGACCAAGGACAACGAGATTCTTCTCTTTGTACGAAAAGTGGGAGAGTATGAGATCCATGTTGGGAATTCGTTAGTCACTTTCAAAGCACCCCTAAATCCTTATGCCCCATTTCATGTCTGTGTGAGCTGGGAGTCTGCCTCTGGGATTGCAGAACTCTGGCTGGATGGAAAGCCTATGGGGAGGAAAGGCTTGAAGAAGGGGTACAGTGTAAGTGCTGAGGCAAAGATTATCATAGGACAAGAGCAGGATTCCTTTGGGGGACGTTTTGATGTAAAACAATCTTTTGTTGGAGAGATATGGGAGGTGTCTTTGTGGGACCATGTGGTCCCCCTAAAAGAAATGGATGGCGGGTGTTACAATGGCAACCTTATAAATTGGCAAGCTCTTAATTTTGAAGACAATGGCTATGTGGTCACTAAACCCAAACTGTGGGCTTAAACTTCTTTCTTTTCAGTCATAATTTGTGTTTAGTAATAATCACATAGTTTCTGAAATCAAATCTGTTTTGTTTCTGTTACAATAGTAATGTGGACTGCATTAAAAAGCAAAAAATGTGAGTCTTTGCTATATATTATTCACTATTGCAAAAGTTGGGGTGAATTTTACCACAGTTATCTGCAGCGCCAAACCATAGGAGCTAGGGGTACACACTACTCTCAGAATTTGGCACTTATCTTGTAGAATCCTGTGTTAAGGAGGGGAGGTCCTATGGTGGTTCTGCTTACTCAAATACAGAAACATGTGAACACAATGTAGCTACTAGGAAATGCCCTCAGGAACAGACCTGCCTGAATGAACCAGACCTCCAAAGAGAATTTCAAAACAGGGCTTTTCAGGAGCTACGTTGAGAAACTGCCCATTCCCATATCTAGAAAAAAAATTAAAGATGTATGTAAAAGTGCCCCCCCCCAAGACAAAACTCAATTTTGCTGGAGTTTCCTCTTCACAGGGTCTCTAAGCCTCCCTGGGAAGTAGCTGTTCTACAACAAGTAAAAATGCCACTTTTTGGTCCTCCTACTGTTAAGACTGTGAATCATGAGAGAAAGACTGGATCCACAATTTTTTGAGGGAAATTTGAAGCAAGCTTTAATTAAACACTAGCCAGGATGATTGACGGACTTTGGTCAATATTATTCTGAGGTTCTCAGAAAATGGCAATGAGTCACATTTTGCAGAGGGCTATGTAGACAAACCTATATGGTCACTAAACTTTCCATCAGGTTCAATCTTGGACAAGCACATATACCAACATACTTCCTGCCTATGTTCTGCTTATCTACATCCATTCAGGGCAGGCACACATCCTGACATATTTCTTGCCTACATACCTCCTATTCACATGTGATCAAGCACATCCTGTGTAGCTGATGTTGCTATTTAAGACAAGCAACTAGTGAAAGAAAGATGCCATTAGACAAGGTTCAAGCAGAGGTGGTTTCTTATTAGGGAAAGGGATCATAAATAGGGGAAAGGGGAGGGCAGAGACAGGCCTCCAGAGACAGGAGCAGCAGGAGAGAGGAGAAAGAAAAGACGGGCAGAGAGAGAAGGAGGGGGAGAGAGAGGGGGGAAGGGATAGAACAGAACAGAGAGAGGGAGAGAAAGAGAGAGAGAGGCATGGGAGGTGAGCAGGGCCCTTTTAAAAGGGAACATGGTGAATATGCCCAGGAGATCCTCTTAGTGATTCTAGCTGAAGGTGTATCCTGTCAGAACCCCAAGGGCAGGCCAGTACAGATGCTTGAATACTAACCGCTGAGTCAAGCCAACTTGTTTAGGGAAACAAAATCATGTGGCTCATTATCTCCCATAAACAAAAGGCTTCTGTATTTTAGGAAGTAATTGTCCTTTGGCAAGGGGCTTACACATTACAAGAATTTTTGTTTCATGGATCACGTAGGCATAGTAACTAAAACTTAAGACATAACTTTGGCTCTCTAATTACCACTAGAGACACAGAGGCCCTGGACTTGAAGCTTGTTTTCCATGCATTTTAGTAGAATTCTTGAAAAAACAAAAGACAGATTTTTTCTTTAGTTTTATATAAACCACAAAATATTTAACATATTAGTCTCCACCAGGTTAATTCTAACTCTTAAGCCTTTCTCACACATGAAAGCACCTTTGCATTTAGCAAGCAACAGCAGAGGGTTTGGGGAAACCCCATATTCTTGTATAGAAAAGACTTTAAAATGGAAGTTCTCAACTTTTCTAATGCTGTGACCTTTTAATACGGTCCCTCATGTTGTGGTGACCCCCAATCATAAAATTATTTTTGTTGCTTCTTCATAACTGTAATTTGCTACTGTTACAAACTGTAATGTAAATATCTTATATGGAGGATGTCTGATATGCAACCACTGTGAAAGAGTCCTTCAGAGGGGTCACAATCCACAGAATGAGAACCCATGATTTAAAATAAATACCTAACAATTCACAGAGAATGAGACTGCCAGTGTAACACCGAAGAAAAAAGAGAAAAAACTTGACTATCACGTCATATTTTCAATGGACAAGAAGAAAATCATGGGCTAATTTCCATTTCAGCAACATCCATAATTAGTTAAGGTATGTAATTAATGTATGTAATTAAAAAATCTTTCATCTTTCTTTAGACATCCCTGTGTTACTTCACAGAAAGTGTAATCAAGTTCTGAATTGAATGTGGATAAGTTGCTTAGTAACATTGAACATACTGGTGATCCAGAACCACTGGTTTTAATGTCAGTCTCAAAAATTTTGAGAAAAATTGTATAGATCTCCAAGGCCTGTGAGAATATTTATCTATAGTAGTATTTCTGTGGGACAGTCAGAGTCTGTAACATTCATCACTGCCCAAAGAAGAAAGTAGTCTAAGTAGAAGAGGGAGTGCTGATGGTTTCTAGCACACCTGGACATCAGCTATGTCCTCTCTGAATCTTTAGGAGTCAACATCTGCCTGGTGTTTATGGTGATTTTTCAACACAGTGTTCATATAGGCACTACACAACCCACTTTTCTGCCATCAATGAACTGATAATAACGAATTCCACCCTTGATTATGATTCCTACCCATTTCCGAATTTGTGATCTGTATCTAGTCATTACTCTGATGGCAACCTGAGAGACCATGAAAGCTGTAGCAGAATACTGATAAAAGCAATAAGGTAGGAGTAGATGAATAGTAGAGTATTTGCCTCACATGTGCAAAACACAGGGCTTCAATCTCTCACACCTCAAAGAAAATTTAAGTTTTAATTAAAAGAAAATAAACATAAAATAAAAACAAAAATCAAACTTTAGGACATCTGAGTCATTCTTTAAAGTAACTTCACCATCAAATTTTGCGGTTCCCTCTGAGTATAGGTGGAATGATAGGGAAAAACTGTTTTTGAGCTTTCAAAAATACCTAGACCTTTTACTTTTGCATTTTGGTTTCTGTTCTTGTGGAGTTTATGGAGGCTGTGTGTGTGTGTGTGTGTGTGTGTGTGTGTGTGTGTGTGTGTGTGTGTGTGCGTGTGTGTGTGCATGTTTCTCATTTTTATTTTATTTTTTATTTTTGTGTGTTTGCGAGACAGAGAGAGACAGAGAGAGAGAGAGAGAGAGAGAGAGAGAGAGAGAGAGAGAGAGAGAGAGAGAGAGAGAGAGAGAGAGAGAGAGAGACTTTGGGTGGGCGAGAAAGCAAGGATGAGCTAGGAGGAGTTGTGATAGGGGAAAAGTGTGACCAGATTACATTTTGTGAAAAAATATTTCTCAATAGAAAAAGAGAAAAAAACCCTATTCTGTGATTGATTACACAGTATTTTCCCCTTATCCATGACAGATATGTTTTGAGATCCCACATGGATGGCTACAATTGAGGCATATAAGCACTCAACCTCATATATACTGTTTCTCTTACTTGTACATGTTTATGATAAAGTTTAATGTATAAATTAAGCTCGCTAAGAGATTAGCACGCTAACTAACGGTGTGGAAATGTCTCAGTGGATAAATCACTTGCCACACCAGCATGAGGTGAGGACTGGAGTTCCATTGCCCAGACCTAAATGCCAGGTGGAGAGGGCAACTCACCTATAATTCCATATTCATGTGGTGGACATAGGGAATCCCCAGAGCAAAGCTAACCATGTCTGTAAGTGCTGAGCTTGGTTGAGAAACCCAACCTTAAAAATAAGGTAGAAGAGAGATCAAAGAAGGTTCCCACTATCAATATTAGAACTCCCTAAGTACATATACACATGTATGAATATACCCCACATATGCCCTCATACATTAAAACATATGAATATTATACACATACATACACACATGAAAAGACAAAAAACTCTAATGACAACAGAAAAACTATACCAATATATTGTAATGAAAAGTTAAGTTGACTGTTGTTTATTACTTGTTTTCAAGATACTGATACTATACAGTATCAGTAGATAGCATATACAACTTGATAAAGAGATGATTCATGTTCCAAATAGTGAGGGTCAGAGCTGTACTAGATTTCGTCATGTAAGTTAAAATGGTAGACAATTTAAACTGAAGAACTTTTTGTATTAGGAGTATTCTATTTATATTTTCAGACCAGAATTGACCATGAGTAATTGAAAATAAAGACAGATAAAGGGAATCCACTGTATGCCAAACTGCCCAATATCCTAGTCAAGAGCTTTTTTCCCAATAGCACGACAAATGGCATCCTTGACTTCTTTGTTTCTCAAAGTATATACCACAGGGTTAAGGAGAGGAGTAAACACAGTATAAGTTACTGAGATCAGCTGGTCCTGATCCCTGGTGTTCTCTGATTTGGGCTTCAGGTAGGCAATAGAGGCACAGCCATAATGGATGATGACCACAGTGAGGTGGGAGGCGCAGGTTGCAAAGGCTTTCTTCCGTCCCTCAGCAGAGGCAATCTTGAGGATTGTGGAGATGATGAGAATGTAAGAGATGAAAACTAAGCCCATGGGCACTACAATAACCAGTGAGCTGATGATGAAGTTAATTATGTCATGTAGAGTGGTATCAGCGCAGGACAGTTTCATAACAGGACGGATGTCACAGAAATAGTGAGCTACCTCTCTGTCACAAAAAGGTGCCCTAAACACAGATGCTATTTGAATTATGGCCACAAGCAGGCCAATGCTGCAGGATCCCAATACTAGCTGGGCACATACCCTCTTGTTCATGATGACTGTGTACCTCAAGGGGTTGCAGATGGCTACATATCGGTCATATCCCATTGCCGTGAGCAGAAAACAGTTGTTAATGGCCAAAGTGATAAAAAAGAACATCTGGGTAGCACAGCTAGCCAAAGACATAGATTGGCTTGAACCTACAAGACTGGAGAGCATCCTTGGTACAATGACCAAAGTGTAGACTGTCTCTGAAGTGGAAAGCATACTAAGAAAGAAGTACATGGGAGTATGAAGGTGACGATCAATACTGATAATTATCACAATAATGACATTGCCAGTCAGGGTTAGCAGGTACAAGGTCAGAAATATCATAAAGAGAGTAAACTTATATTCCTGAAAGCTGGAAAATCCTTGGAAAACAAATTCACTCACTGCTGTGTGGTTTCTTCTCATCATCTTCCACACAGAATGGCAGGTTTGAGTCAATCAGCCAGAATACGTTAGTGCCCAGCGCTTTGAGTAGGTGACACTTTAGGATAAACTGATAATGGCTCTGTGTCCTGATAGATACAGAGTTAGCAGGGGCAGCTGTCCATCTGGTAGTCAAAGACAGACAAAAGCAGAAGATGATTTAATGTGTAGAATCTTATGTGTGAAGTGTGGTCCAGATTCCTGGTGAGTAGACAGTAGGTATTAGAGGAGAGTAGGCAAGAGAAACAGAGACATGGTTAAATTTGAAAGTCATTTCCCTTTAGGACATAGATTCAGAACTTGTTACCTAAAATTTATCTAAAATAGAATTTTCGTTGTCTTCTTAAAGGCCTGCCCTTCTGTGTTGCTGAACGAAAGGATTCTGGCTGCTCCAGCACTTTACAAATGCTTTTGTTCTCCCTTATATTTGTCTACTTCATGAACCCTCATCCACAGATCAGTTAGCCTTTGCAAACCTGACCGTCCCCCATCATATTTTTAAAACAAGACATATTCCTCTCTTTATTCAATAGGGAAGGATGCCTGCTTTTCCTCAGAAAGTCATCTCAGAATAGGATGCAACCTGTCAATCAAGCTCCTTGTTGCCCAGTAACTCATTTTCCTGGATTATGTTCATCTCCATGCCTTTACCAGGTTATGGTTACATGTAAATTTCACAAACTGGCCTCACTAGAGTAATTTGGCATCAGAAATCTCTCATGTTAAAAAATGATTGAGTAACATTAACAATAAGCAGTACTTTGTATCACTTTAAGGTTTTTCCATATGTGAATTCAACATCATAATGACCTATATACTTATTTCTTCCTTTCATCTTGCAGCAAGAAAATTATGACACCAAAGCCTATATGATTTGTTCAAACTAATTCTACCATTTACTTCCAAAATGGTAGGGTAATTTATCCTCTATCACAACTGCTTAATAAGCATCATGCCACAGATAGATGAGAAATAAGATGACTCTTCATTTTTATTGGAAAAAATGTACTTTCCTCTTTCTGTAGGAATGAAATTACACTGTGAAGAAACGGAAAATCCAGAAAAGTTATTTGGAAAACTAGGTAAGTTTTAGGACCTAAAAAGGTGAGGAAATATTAGGAGATTAATGCTAGTCTATACAAACTCCTTGGGTTAATATTTCTGCTTTCAATTATGTATTCTAAGAAAACTATCAGATATATATATAAGGACGCATGTACAAAGAACTTGAATTATTTTATCTATAATAGGGAAGGTCAAAACCAATGAAAATTAGTAATTAATTTACAATCAAATTAATTATGACATGTGCATCTGATGGGAACCATGTGGCCAGTTCATAGCTAAAGAGACCTGACATGGAAAATTTGGATAGGAAGAACACAGACTACAATTTGTAAAACAGAAAGGAGTAAAAATAAAGAATAAATCATATGCATACAAGCAACACTAAACAGACTCAGCAGGTTGTATTAATACATGTGTACATAACAATACAAACCTAAGAAAAAAGAGGCCATGCATTTGAAAAGAAGTAAGTAAGGGAATGTGGAGGGGTTTGTAAGAGGGAAAGGAGAAGGAAAAAATGATGTAATTAAATTAAAATATTTTGAAGGCATTAAAAAGGAGGGAAACACTTAATAACATAGATAACATTTAAATGAAGAAAATCCACTAAAGTATTTTTTGATTAATGTTTAACGAATCCAAAATTACCTTTTTAATTATTCCCTATATAATCCAGGCCTTTACATTTAGTTATTTCTTTAAACATCTGAAAATAAAATTGCTAAATAGTTCTCTCCAGTTAAAACGTATCATTGGATGACAGAGAGGATCAAGGAACAAAGATGAAAACAGGGAGTGATTCTACCTTGGAGAAGCAAAGGTTGAAGGCACAGTGCTTGGATGAGAGGCTTTGAGTAGGAAGCCAGAGGGGATTATCTTCAGTGTTTGAAATCTGTAATTAGTAAAATGAAAACTTTCTGAACAGTGGTGGAGCAGACCGAAGCAGTGAAATGCTCATGATAGGTGCAAATCTAAAGTGAATAAGATTCTTAAAGGCCATATTTTAATAGAATTAATCAAAACATTCAGAATTGACTAAATATCCTTGCTGCTTTTATGACAGCAGGATGCAAGGAGCTGAATGGGAACAAGTTTGAAATTTCTCCCCCCCCCAAGTTTGAAATTTCTTAACTGAAGATTTTGAAGAATAGTGCAAATAACTTGAAAGAATTAGCTATGAGTAAGACCAAATGAATACTTGAATTCCTCAGGGGTAGAATGGGCTAGCCCTTAACTATTCCTGTATAACTGGGGTTCATCATATGTTTTAGACAAAGACAAAGACATGTTTATGTAAAGAAAAAGAAATGTTTATGTAACAGGGGAATCAAAGTTTGCTGGATTCTACAAAGACTGAGTGCATTTCTTTTTTTTTTTTTTTCATGAGGCAAATGATGATGGCTCTTCAGGATGGATGAACAGATGAGTGAACACAGGGGCAGCTGTGTAACAACAGATAATACAACATCCCAGCTTCCTTGCATGAAGTCCCAATACAACACCCCAACCTCCTATGGAGTCTCAATACAACACCCCAGCTTCCTTCCATTCCAGCTTCCCTCTGTGGAGTCCCAAGCACCAAAGAAGCAACATTTTGTTACAATTTCTGTTCTGATTGTTTGAGGAAAGAAAAATTTCATTCTAGATCCTAATGTTTTTTTAAAGAAATTCTTCTGTAATAATAACTTCCTTCCTAGACCTGAAAACCAATTCCTAGAAAGCAGCGAATCCCACTCATTTTATTCACTAAGACTTCCCTATTGGAAGCCAGAATTAAAAAAAGACAAACCTCATGTACTTGGAAGTTGTGAGTCTATCAAATATGACTGAATGATTGGACCCTAGAGTTAGGAAGTGATTTTCAAAGCATATCATTCCTCATAAACAGTCCCCCAAATTTTGCTTCAGTGCATCCAATGATTAGAAATGTATTATCTTATAAGTTAGTAGCCCTCTTTTTTAAAAAGGAAAGTACTATATGTATTTAGAAAAATAAAATTACACTTTCAAATTACAAGCATTCAGAGTGGTGGGGATGTGCAAACGGACATCTTAGCTTTCTCCTCCACATACTCTGGCCTATAGGTAACCATGATTATTCTCTCCTTCACCTTTCCCCCTCTTGTTTTTTTTTCTTCTGTCTGGGATTTTTTTGTATAACCTTACATAGTTCCATATAATTTCAGTTTTACACAATGGAATTAGACTGTACATACCAATCCTTGTCTACTTTCTTCCATTGAAGATTATATCTTGAGTGTTTTCTGTAACACCACGGTCCATCTCACCCCTTTTATTTCTAGAGGTGTATACTATTCCAATGCTAGCATCAATTCTAGTTTTTTGTTTAATAGTTGGAAAACGTTACTTTCTACTCTCTCAATATCTATTTCCTTGCTCGTAATCACCTCCTACACCCTCCTTTTTATGTCCTCTAACATGAGACTATTTCACATACTGATGGTCATTTTCGTGCCACAGCAAGATATCATGTCTTTGAGTCTATTACCACAGCAAAGGGGCATGACACGAAGTACATTAATGGACATGAGACTCTATATAAGCAACCAAATACTGAAAACTGCAGGGGGGAAAGAGTAAAATTTTGAAAAATATACTTGGTATTCAATTTTCATTTACTCACTGCTTCTGACCTTGGCAATAGGAATAAGAAGGAGGAATATTCTAGAAGTAATCTTTACAAAGTACTGAAAAGGCTGAGTCTAAAAACAGACACAAGCAGACAAAACCCATCTCCAAGGGACATTTACAATGGAAGCTAGAACTGGTAAAATGAAGAAAATTCAGCTCTCTAGTATCAAAAGAACTTAAATTCTTGTTATCCCCACTGAAGTTCAGTGAGTTGACTTCTTTAGCCTTGAGGTATATGAGAAAAAAAGAGAAATATATTCTCTTAATATGCAAATTTCAGCACCTTTGAATGTTTATTTTATCTAAAAAGTAGTGAATCTTTTTGCCCTGATCTCTTGAGGATCCTTCCTTTGGAGAATCACTCAGAGGTCCTAAGAGACAAAAAAGATGGAATCTGACTGCTAGTCTCATGGGCTTCATTAGGAAGTTGGGTGGCTTCTGGAGGAGACACTATCATTTGTTTACTGATTTGAAAGTTGTTCAGACTTCAGAAACTAACTCTCCATTGAGTTTTAGAGAATTAAACCAATTAATACTGATAAACTTGCACAGGGAAGATGCTAAATTTTAATTTCTCTGTACTAGAAAGCAGCTTATTTCATAAATCTTATTGAAATAATTAAGATAACTTGTAGCAGCGGATTACTGGAGGCCAAGGCTTGTCTAGCCCAGCTTCAGCCTACAGTTGATTTCCTTAAGTTTCAAAATGCTTCATCTTTACATCTATTTACAAAAAAAGTCACCCACACTTGGAAAAGGTCCCTGTCACAACTCTTTGGTTTATACCCTGAACTTCCTGGAAACAAAATGAATGGGCTATGGATTGATGGTTCTCCCTACCAAGATGATTTCTGCCTCCATAGGTAGCTTGTGAGCACTTCAGCTCTTCCCATTGCAGGGAAATGCCACAACCATCCTGAATACAAACTAAAGATGCTTCAAGCAACAGTCTTCTCTTTAGTGACCAACACAGTGCACATTGGTCACAGAGGAGCACAAGAGGAAAAAGAAGATCACATGAGCCATTAGAGACTCCTAACTTAGAAACTAACATTTCTGAGCCAGGCAATGTCTCTCTCTCTCTCTCTCTCTCTCTGACTCTGTCTCTGTCTCTGTCTCTGTCTCTGTCTCTGTCTCTCTCTCTCTCTCTCTCTCTCTCTGACTCTGTCTCTGTCTCTGTCTCTGTCTCTGTCTCTGTCTCTCTCTCTCTCTCTCTCTCTCTCTCTCTCTCTCGCTCTCGCTCTCGCTCTCGCTCACACACAGACAGAAGCAGGAGAAACAAGAGCTCAAGGCCATTATTTTCTGCTTTAGGGAGTTCAAGGCTAAACTGGCTACGTGAGACTGTATCTTAACAAAAACAGAGAAAGTGAGAAAGGTGGGGAGAAAAAGGAAAGGGAGAGAGAGAGAGAGACAGAGAGAGAGAGAGAGACAGAGAGACAGAAAGACAGAGAGAGACAGAGACAGAGAGACAGAGATAGACAGAGAGAATCATTTTAGTTTTCAAATGTATTGCATATGTATTCATATGGCTGCATCTATTAAAAGCATTTATTCATTTGTATGGAAAAGTAGGATAATGATCATGTTTGTTATTACTACTATTTGAATATGTCCTTCAAATATCATATGTTAAAATCTTGATTCCTAAATTTATGTAGGTGGTATTTAGAGGTGAGAGCTTTGTGCAACTGTGTTAGACTAAGCTACCATAAGACTGCATCACTTTTTAATATGTATATATTCATGTATTTTTACTTTATGTGTATCAGTGTTTTGCCTGTATGTAGTTTGTGCATCATGTTTATGCAGTGCCAGAAGAATACAGAAGTCCTCTTGGAACTATAACAACAGATTATTGTGAGCTGCCTTGTGGGTGCTGGGGATGGAACCCAAGTCCTCTGCAAGAGCAGTCAGTGCTCTTGAAAACTGAGCCATCTCTCCAGCCCTGTAAAACTTTCTTGTGGGCTGCATTGCAGAGATCCAGAATCTGTCACAGACTGTCTGATTTTCCAACATTCCTTTGAAATCTGGGTAGAAGCTGTAGCTCTTGCGTTCTGCATGAATGCAAAACAAACAGAAAATGCGAGGTCCAAGTTCATGCGTGCAGTACCTATCCACTCTATGCACTCTTGGACCATAGAGGCCAAGATTTCTGAGTGCCTGGATGGTTAAACTCAGAGGCACTTCTCACGGGCCACTTTGGAACTGTCTTCTCAAAGCAAAACAACGAATTTTCAAATGAGCTAAAACTTTTGTACCCTTCACACTATAATGGCGTGGGTAGGGTCAGTTCCTGAGCTGCACTCATGCCATTTTTCTTATTAGCCTGACATTGAATATTTGCTCATTAAAAAACAGGTATTCTTTCAGCAGCAACACTTTCCTTGACCCAACCACACATTGCTTATATTCTGGACAAATCTTTAGCTTTCCAAGGTGTTGTTTGTTTGGGTCTGATTTTTGTTCTCAGTTTTCACTATACATCTGGCAAAAAGCAGCCAGCAATACCTAAGTCACATCCTGAAAAACCACTCTATCCTCAGATTTTATATATCAAATTAATCCATTACTTTTAAGTTCAGCATCATTCAAAGTGCCAGGACACAGACAAAATATGGACAAACAATTTACAGAATATATCACACTGAACATAGTCCTTACTGTTCAAATTTTATCAGCATAAGGGCTTCTTTAAATTTTTATTTTATTTTATTAACTAATTATGTGTGCACATATGCCCGCAGATGCCGCAGTACCAGACATACTTATAATAAAAAATTCCACATTGTTTACAGACCCTCAACTTTAACTAGTCAGCCTAAATTGTATCTAGGAGCCTTTATTAAGTGACACATAAAGCATGTAACAATTATAGTCAGAATAAAAGGCCATGAATTCAAGAGGGAGCTGGGAGTGTATGAAGGAGGGGGCGGATTGACACAAACATATTTTAATTAAAAATTTGAAAAAGGGGTCACAGGCACATAAGCAAGGCTAATTTTTGTTTTTTCTTTTTTAACTTTCTTTTTTATTTATTCTTTGTGTCTTTCACATCATGCATCACCATCCCATCTATCTCCTGTGCCTCCTCCCAAATGAAACAAAGTAAAATTTAAAAGAAAAAAATGGAAAGAAAGGGGAAAATCTCACCATGAAAATTGCAGTGGACACATTGAAGCAGGTAGTAAACCACTTTATCTGTACATATTTACATGCAGGCGTTATTGCAAAGAATCACTGGTCTGGTTCTAGGCCCCTGGTCTCAGCTGCACTGTTGATGCTGGGCCCTCACTGGGACTCCTTCTGGGCATCCTGTTGTTGCCTTGTGTCATGGAGATCCTGCAACCCTGGATCCTTAGTACCAGCCCACTTCCCCCATGCTCCAGTACATCACGGATGGGGTGGAAGTGGGGGTGGGCCAACACACTTCTGGGCCTGGGTAGTTGCAGGGTTGGTCATCAGCTCTCCCTATCTTTACTACTAGGGTGAGCTCTCCAGAACTGATTGCCCTGGCTAGTTCATTCCCTGTGCCAACGAGCAAGGGACAGGACCACTTCTCTGGGTTTTTCGCTTTCAGGTTCTCAGGGTCAGTTCTCCCACACCTACACTTTCAGGGCCAGCTCTACTGTGCTGTCCAGGAGAGGTACAGGGCCTGCTCTCCAGAGTGTTGCAGCTGCTAGGGGGTAGGGCCAGCTCTCCTGCTCTTCTGACCTCAGGGCCAGTCCTCCCACATGCCTCAGGTGTTGATGGGGAGCATCTCTCCTCCACCCATCTTGCCATTGACAGATGAGGGTTGGAGCCAAGGACCCCCACACTCACATTTTTGGGGACTAGCTTACCTGTGCCCTAGTCAACAGGATCAGCTCCACTGTGCTGCCCAGAACAAAGCTAATTTTAAAATTTTTATTTATTTTTGATATCTCATACAATATATTTTGATAACATTCTTTCCTCTTACCTAACTCTTCCCAGATCCTCCCTCACTCCCTACTCAACCAACTTTATGCTTGTTTTCTCCTTAACAACAACAAAATGCCACCCCAAATCTTTTTTTTATTTATTATTTATTTGAATTTTTGGAGGCAGGGTCTCATGTATCCCAGGATGGCCTCAAACTCACTTAAACAGCCAACAATGACCTTGAACTTTTTAATCCTCCTGCCTCCACCTCGGGAGTACTGGAGTGGTGGGATCACAGGCATGAGTCACCACACTCATTCTTACGTGTTGCTGAGGGTTGTTCACACAAGCTTTGGGCCAGCTGAGATAGGTTCCTCAGAGCTCATCATCCCTAAAGGTGAGAAAAACGTGCACAGAGATGAAAGGTGATTTCCCCACTGCTACAGCTAGAGTCACAGCTTAGATGGGTGCTCTTGCCTTCAGCCAGGGCCGATGCGTAGATGCATAGCCTCCTACCTTGCACCCTTTGGACCTCAAGTCCTTTCTGATAGGCTACCCTCCTATCTTTGGACACCTCTCCTGAAGTCCACACTGGTTGCCTATCATGTCATTTTGGGGAAGTTGATGACACATCAAGCTGATCAAGTTTTCATTTTCATCTCATTTA